GAGAGAAGGAATGTTTGGGATTAGAGCCAGACGGTATATCGGCAGGCCGATATTCTCAGCCGATATTAGGCATTTTCCAAACTATCGGTATGGGCAGTTATAATGGCCGATAAATGAATATTTCAAAAATAAATTAAAAACGGACGAAACACGCTTCAACCATGTCATGAGTGTTGGAGTTGTTTCGTTTGTCCACCAGAGGGCACTCTACACCATCCCTGTTGGCAACACTCGTTTATAACGCACCACACATTCTGTAAACTGCTGAACCAGCCAGATTCGGGCAGAGAGAACCAGTTATCCGCGAGTGAGATCATCGGTGAAGTGTGTTCATGGTGAACTCAAAAAATGTTTCCCTAAAAAGTTTCTTTTTAAAATGCATTATCATATTATTTTAGTTAAAACTCATACATAACTACAAATAACTAATGTTAGGGAAATCTGTTAATGTTTTGTTGCACGTTTCTGAAAAAAATAAATAAAAAATATCGGCCGATATATCGGAATATCAGATTTTAAAACCAACAAATATTTGTATCGGTATCGGCCTTCAAAATCCTTTATCGGTCGGGCTCTAGTTGGGATAAACCTTTTAATATCAACTTAAATGGAGATTTCCTTGTCATCTGAAGTAAAACAAAGCTAAATACAGTTGATTCCAAACTAATCAACTAAAGTAAATGAATAAAAATTAATCTATAACTCTATAACTATATTTTTATGGTTGTCCTCAAACAAAACAATTTATGATCAGTCATTCAGTGCTATGATTGCAAATCTTTGTGAGTTTGACCATGACAACTTTCTTTGCTTGGTATTTAACATCAGCTGACATCAATACAACACTCACTGTTTTAAGGGAAACACTGAAACTATGAGATATGAAACAAGCATGTGCAAGCAACCGATTCAGCGCAGAGCTCGTAGCAACCGTTTAAATAAACACATCCGCCCGGTTACGGACACGCTGAACTCTCACACAAACACCAACAGATGGCCCTGAGGCGTCTTAAAGGAGCCTAGCTAGCACACTTAACTTTCAGCAACTCATGATAAAACAGATCAGAGGACAGACAGTCAAACTCACCCTCCATAACTCCTGCTGGATGACTCGCACATCCTGAAACGTTCCCTCGGAAATTAAACTTTCCCGCATTTACACTCCTACGACAGCTACAGCAGGAGCTCTTGGACTCAATGACATACTAAAGGAGTATTGTGTGCAATGCTGGATTTCAGCAGTGTGAGTCATATGAGAAAAGAAAGCAGAAAACGAAGAACTAAGCAATCGTCGTTTGTCCAGGCTGAGGTCGGCCCTTTGTGGGGGTCAGAATATACGCTTCAGTTAACTGGAGCAGAAACATTCCTCCTCTGATGGACAAAAAAGACAAACAGCCGGTGAAAACGACAGTGCATGTGATGCCCATTAAAATTGATGGTTCATCCCCCTCTATTACTTTCTAATTCTAATCCATATGAAAAGTGACTAATTTCTCATTTCTCCCTCCATTCAGTGCAAATGTTTACGCAGAGACAGAATCTCTCATTATCTCTCAGTTAAGAGCTCTGAGAATGCAGGGCAGTGGAAACACAGCAAACACACCTGACCTGACTGCATTGCACTTGCACCAATGGCAGCCAATGTTCATTCATGGAGCTGATAGCTGTGAGGTGAGTCAGAACACACACGTTTCTGATTGGAGAAGATCTGCTCTTTAAAAACAAACACAGTTACTGCATGTGACCGAAAACAGAAGAATCTTTAACTACTAATATGAATAACCATGAGGAAGCCGGGTGACTACAGTGAAAGTCAGCTGTAAGGCCATATAAAGCTGAAACAAAATTCACAAGAAAACACTAAATCTAACTCTTCCATTTCTTTCAGCACATTACATACAGTGCATGGAGGCCATATCACAGAAGGACTTGATTAACCAACATTGAAGACACACACAAATGATCAAATATCTGTAAGCTTTGAGGTCTTTTCTAAAAGCTGTCAAAACAACTTTCAGTAGATATAAAAATTAAAAATGTGCTTGCTTTCCAAAAAGACACATGCTTTACTGCTTGCTATTGTTAGTGGTACATGGTATTTTTAGGGTGGAGACCTATGATGTCTCATAATAGACATATACATTTTATTTGACATAGGCCTAGGTTATGCAAATGATGTTACATTTGTTTATATATATATATAAAATTGTTCAAAAGTCACTAAGATTCTCTGATCACCAAAGCTGCATTTATTTAATTACAAATACACTAAATAACAGTAATATTGTGAAATATAATTACAATTTAAAAAGAACTGTTTTCTATTTGGGTATATTTTAAAATGTAATTTTTTCCTGGGATGCAAAACTGAATTTTCATTATCATTACTCCAGTCTTCAGTGTCACATGATCCTTCAGAAATCACTCGAATATGATGATTTGCTGCTCAAGACACATTTTTTGAAACAACAGTTCTGCTGCCTCATATTTTTTGGGAAATCGTGGTAATGGTGATTTTTTCAGGATTTTTTTATTAATAGACAGTTCCAAAGAACAGCATCTATGTCACCTTTAAATCAGTTATCATCCATTCTTACTAACCCCAAACTTTTGAATGATAGTGTATAACGGGAGAACAAGGAGAATTTTTTTTTTTTTAATTTGTGCAAAAGTAATTTGGGGTCCAACAGACCCCGCGGACCCGGACCATCAGATGGTTAACAAATGGTAATGATAATATGGTATGTGTATAATGGTATGTGTGTAATGTGTATAATGTGGAAGTGTCCGAATGGTATGAAACTTTTTACATCTCTCAACACTGTCTAGATCTACAAAAAAAAATTTAATTGGAATGATATCGGTTTTTATGCTGGCGTGACAAAAATAGTCACACTCGTGGTCTTCGGGGTCCACTCAAAATCGACACAAAATCATCATCAAAATCATCAAAATCATCATCAAAATCAGACACAACGCAGGACACAAAGACAGAAATGATCCAGGCCCAGAAATAAAGTATCACACTCCAAACAAAGCAAAAAAAAAAATCATGCTCACGCATGAAAACCCATCCAGTTTTTAACATCATCAATCCGTGACGCGTTCAGTGGCGTAAGCTGCATGTACATCGCTTCAAAGTGTATATTATATTGTTTTGTTGTTTAAAGCCTAAAAATTTTGTTTTTTCAAATCCTCTCCCATGGCTTCATGGGATACCAAAGTGTCTGTTTTCGCATGCTACATACTTAGTAGGAAAGTATTTGATTTCTGATGCAGCACAAGTCATATTTATAAGATGAAAAGCCAAAACTATGACATTTCATTATATCCATTCATAATATCACTGACAGGTCTAATTGAAATTTAATTTAACCCTTGATGCTCCTGCACACAGATTGTTGTTGTTTTGTGTCTGCAGTAACGTTAGCAGTATGCATTTCTCTACTGATGACAGATGCAGGTTTGGAGGGTGTGTTTGTGTATTACTGTGAAATAACTGCAGTGTTTAGTAACGGGACAGATACCTCTTGTTCTCTGGCGTAGTCTTCCTGATCATACTCCTCTTCCTCCTGCTGGGTCTGTAAAGCAGCACTGTCAAAATCAATGGACATCCTGCAGACCTGAGAGGAGACCCGACACCACCTGAGACAGGAAATGACCAGCAACCACTTCATTTAACCAGTCCAACACATAGAAAACGAGACCAACTGCTTTCCTATATGCTAGTAACGTTAGCATCATAAACATTGTTAATACTGACATACACTGTTATGTATTTATAGTTTCTCTGCAACCTAGAACACATTATTCGGACTGTCGTAGCAGAAATGTATTTCATTTAGCACTATACAAACGGTATTTGTGTTTAAATGGTCTCTTCTTACCTTTAAAGTCTTTCAAAAGTCGCCGCAGTGCTACATTAACACAATAATCCGAAATAATGGGCTTCTATGAGGAACATTACAGTGTCTCGGTGACTCACAAGTTCAGTATTGATTTGAAATGACACGAGCATGATAAATAAACGGTCAGCGAATGTCTCTTCAGCCGTTACAGGATCAGATGGTAAAACTCGTTTAAAGCGGATTAAAAACGATATTACAGCAAATGTATTGATATATTATCTGCCCATTGAAACATGGCGCTCTAAACAGCGGCAAAAGTCCTGTATTCTGATTGGCTGACGGGAGGGACGCCGTCACGTGAACGTTACGGCCAGAGCCAGAGAGTAACAGGAAAATACTTTTTTATTTTTTTTTTGCTAAAAAAAAAACATACAAAATACCAACAAACATCAAGATACACATCTTAAATGATTACAAAACAGTCTAAATAGCAGCACAAAAAATACATGAACACCAAAAATCTAAGAAAAGAAAAAAATAGAAAACAAAAACACATAAAGAAGGTACAGGAAAATACTAAATATCTTCAGGAGTCCTATCTTGCTTCCTGCTATCTTATTTCAGGTTAGGAACGTTAGGAAATCCTATCGCTACCATCAACTTTTCTGTTTCATCTCGCGAGCTAAACGGGTATTTTATGTGATTTAGTCAGCTTGATTAACACGATAAAAGCGATAGTAGTAATAATAGCATTGGTACATAATTTTTAAGTTCATAAACAATTTAAGTTCCCAAAAAAATATATAAAATTATATAGATCTATATACATTTGGTTTATATATGTATATTTTATTTATATTAAATATTGTTTACATAACACGTGGTTTAAATAAAGTTTTATTGTTAAATGTTTAAACATACAAATGTATGCCCCATTGTTGTTAATGGGATTGGTTACCGCCGAGGACTTTTGGCCGTATAGTTTATGCATGATATTTTCTGTGATCTGATTAATATTCAGTTTTTTTTGTTGTTGTTGTAATCAGTTGAAATATGGTCTCTATGTGAAAGCTGTATAATGTTGGTCTGTGTTATTGAGATAAACTTCATTGCTTATCATCACACATCAAACCATAAACCATTCCAGACACATTTTCCGCTGAAGCAACAAATGCATTCTTTATTTTTGTTGTTGAAAAGTGAAACAGAAGAGCCCAGGCAGCATTAAAGTTTCAACAGATCTGTAAAGTTTGGTGAGGAATTCTAGCAATGACGGCACTTTCGATACGCATGTGCTGCGGTGCAACATCATAAAACTCAACTGAATCTTATGCAAACCAAGTAAAACATGCTGACTCTAACAAGAGACAGACAGAGTTCAACAGATAAATGACTCAATTTCACACAGCACGTCTTCACGCTTTCCATTTTAGACAAACAATTTAAAATGTCTGCCAATATGTGTTATTGAAATAGTATTTTTTCCAGGTGATGCAAACATATTCATATTAGAGACCTAACAAATCAGCACAGCAGACATCCTGTGGCAACTTCTGCTTTGTTAGGGACATTTAAAACTGACTTAAGTGACTACAGCTGTAAAAATACAAACTAGCCAAATTACGCTCCCGCTTCAAGTCAATCTGTGATCGGGGGAGTAAAGGGCTTGAAAGTAGTTAATGTCACTGACAGCCTCGAATGGACCGGCTGCCTGATGGGTGTATTAGTTCTCCGCGATCGCCAGTGTCGAATCAAGCCAGTTTGCTCACAATGGCCTGGTTGAGAGAGTTCAGCTGATTGGTCCATCTGTCCAGAGCGGTGTATCTGGCTCCGCCTCTTTTCTGGTGATCGAGCTCCAACAGCTGATTGACCTGGTCAATTCTACCGTTGATTGTGCTGAAAGACGTACAACATCAGATTCATCTATAGTATAGATATATTTGCATTGAAAGAGTACAAAAAAACATTTGTACATTTTTTTTTAAATAATCTATATTAAAAATTAGATTAAACTTACTTGTCTAAAATACACTGCACAAGCAAGCTTTCCACATCTGAAACATCAATATTCAATTCCTAAAGAAAAACAGGGACATGAAAGCATGTTATAATAATACATTTACTATAATAACTAGAATTTAATATAGATTTACCTTTGAAATAAATGGTATGTGTATCCTAGTGTAAGGCTTAATCAATTTGATGAGCACTTGCGTTCTTATGTTCCGTAACAATTCTGAAGGGAAAAATAAAAATATGAGATTTATGAAATAAGTACAATATGTACAAGGAAGCCAAAAGCCACCCAAACTGACCCTCAATATGTTCTCTGATGAAGGGGTCGTCCATTATGTTGCTGTGATTCGTCTTTAGGATTTTCTCAAATTCTGTGATGTCATTGTTCTGGTAGGAACTAGACAAATTACAAGCAATTAATACCATAAAATGAATCCATTCGGATCATACAAATTGAGTTAAATAGAAGAGGATAAATGAAAAGTGGTATTGTGCACACTTACCTTACTAGGTTTGTCATTGCCAGGATTTCTGGATCATTTTTGTAAGGTTTTGCCTAGTCACAGAGCAACATGGGAATAATTAGTTTTTTGTTTTTGTTATTTTAGACCACAAAATTTGACCTTCTATGACCAGGCCCAGATAAAATCTACAGTGTTGTGCTTTTCTGCACTGATAAGCTGCTTTACAAGTTGAAATGCTAAGTGAAACATACTTGTTGGTCAATGAAAGCAAATACACCAAAACATTTAATAAATGAACATGCAATGATGAAGAATGAGTAGAATTGTGTAATTGATGGTTCTGCTGAACTTTCCGATGGTGGGTCTGAGCATGACTGCCACCTTATACCTCTTGAGAATCGAATGGGTTGATTCCAGACTTCATCAGCATGTTGGCCAAGACCAGGTACTTCAGACAAGTGGTTCGTCTGGGGCTTCCAGACTCGTCATAGTTTTTGAATGCCTCGAAAAAGTCTGTATGTGCCTTCTCGAACTCGCCCTCCCTCAGGTGCATTTTACCACCACATTCTAAAGAGAACAGGTCACAAGTCAATGAAAATTAGTGGACTTTACAACTTTACACCATAAACAAAAGACACTGTCCAGTTAAACACACAAAATAAATAAAAAAACTAGCCAAATTGGTTTCATCCTTCAAAATAAACTGAATAAATGCTTATTATACACAAAACAAAAAGTAAACTTTCCAAACAAACATCCCAATTGTACACTAAACTTTCCAATTGTCCATTAAAAAAATACATTATATATATATATATATATATATATATATATATATATATATATATATATGAGAAGTTCAGATGCAAAAGCCTCTAAATGCCATTTGAAATTTTCTTCTTTAATGATGATTTTTATCAAACTTGTATATTTAAGTTCAGTAATTTCACTTAAATAACAATTAACAGGTAATTATCATTGCCATTTAAGTGAAATTACTGAACTTAAATATACAAGCTTGATAAAAATTATAATTCTAGAAGAAAATTTCAAATGGCACTTAGAGGCTTTTGCATCTGAACTCTTCATATATATATATATATATATATATATACACACACACACACACACACATATATATATATATATATATAATATATTAATATATATATATTAAAAAAATATATTATGTTGGGGGGTTTTAAAACTGGAGTGTAAAACATCAGCTATGATCTGCACCAGACATGGGCAGAACGACATCTGAGATTACAACAGACTCTAAGAAGAATCTTTGGTATTAAAATAGACTAAAAATGTGTAAAATACCTCTGATGACTCCCATGATGAGTGGGTGTGGGATGGCTGATTTGATGTGTAATGACTGCTCATAGAGGGCCTTTAGCTTCTTGTTGTTTTTCTGTGCCGTATACATCTGAATCTCCAAAGCATAGATCTCCAACAGCTGAGTGCCCTTCTTCAAGTCGTCCTCTCCGTCATCCGTCTAATTAAGAACATCGATCAGGTTCAGGACAGCACATTAGACATTTGAAGACATCGACAGTTTGGTTTTCTCATTTATGCGACACGGATCATTTACGCTACCTGACATGACTGGTGTAATTGCCTGAGGATTTTCTGAAGCTTTCCAAACTCTTCTCTTTCCAGGTACAACTTTCCCAACTACATGAAACAGAGGAGCAGAAGTTAGCAGTATTCTTGAATTACACATCCTTTCTGCAGTTTGCTGGTCAATTGCACTGCATTGACACAATTATATATATTGAGATTGATAAGTCATTTATACTGTGCATATTATTGTTCTTGTATATCTGTAATATAAAACGGATCATCTAAATACACAATGCACTGCCACAGCACAAACCTTGGTGTTAGTTTTAAACCAAAGTCTGTCATTTTTGGCATCTTTTAAAGCATCCAGTGTGGTCTCATAAAACTCTTGAAGCAAGTCCATCTGGAAAAAAAGGTAAATAGATAAATATTACTTTTTTATCTTTAATAACATAATGAACTTAAATTTTATATATAAAGTGTGTGTGTGTATTAGGGCTGTCACGATATCAGTTTTAACAGAATTTTTTTTAAATTCGAGTAACGCTATACTATTCTACAGAAACCTTTTTTTTTAAAAATGTTATCTGTCAAATTCATCTTTAGTTTGTATATTTTTCGTGTTTTGCTTTCTTTTTTTTAGCTAATGAATCACAACATTACATACAACAATTACAACAACTGAGACTCTGGCTTTCTCTGGCTTCTTTGACACTGCCTAAGAAATAGGAGACAGAAAGAGAAAATACTGTCAAGTTCAACAGTATTATAAATGAGTTTTAAACACAACTAATAGCTTAACTTATTAACTTGTGTCGCCATTTTGAACACATATTTAAGAAAAGGCATACAAAATAGTCCATAGTCGACGAAGCCTATGGACTTTGAACATGGTAGACTATTTAAAAGTGTTTACAGAGAAATTGATTGTCATATTGCCAGAATTTCTTAAAACAATGATAAAATTGATTCTGATATCTATAGAACATTTTTGAGAGATGCTATATTATTTCATTGAGAGGAGATGAAATGCTAACCGTTTTTAGCGTAGCACAGCGTCAAAATATAATTCATGAGAATAAATTCTGCTTTAAGACAGACGGCAGCGTAATGGTGCAATAACAGCTATTGTACTTTGGATGCTGACCCTGGATTATTCACGCGTCTTATTATTATCATGTGTATTACTCGTTTTAAATATTGTGGTTATCGAGATATATTGTCACGCCCTTAATTAACACAATTTCGATATTTCATGGTTTGAATATCACGGTTATTGTCAATGGCGGATATCGTGACACCCCTGATATATACATATATTACTGAACACAGGAGTTTAAAATGTATTAAATACCTGTTTGGAGGTTGAGATATAATCTAGAATAGAGTTGATGGATTTCTCAGAGTAATTTCTAGTGACAGCACTCCTAATATACGTCAAAAGCTGTTTGTACCGGTTCATCATTTCAGGAAAATTTGTCTGTAAAAAATAATGATAAGATTTTTTATAGTACATCAACATATTTTTGCTAAAAACAACATTTAAGACAATACAGGAGAATAAGAAAAAGATTTAGAAATATTACACAATATATTATGCTACTATTATTACACACCAGTTTGAAGTTGATCTTAATCATCTGTTTCAGTGCTTTAAAGCCCCATTCTCCTTTCTCACCCTCCAGTTCCAGCACCTGCAGAACAGAAAATAGTGATTATCTATTATCTATCTATTACCTATTCAAAGTTACAGTACAGATGCTGAAATGGAAAGTGTCTAACCTTCTGAAAGCTGCTCAGAGCCGCTTTAGGATCATCTTCTTTGAGGGCTTTAGAGTTGTAGTACTGATTCTCCAAATCAACATTGGGCTCAGAGTTGCTGTCCTCAGAGTATTCCTGAAGTGAAAGCAAACAAATGGTATTTGTAACGTTAATTACAGTTAAAGGATCATTTAATCATAGTCTTTGCATGAAAGAAACATCTTGAAGGATATTGAACAGGGTAATGGTGCATGATTGTTGTGATTATGCCAACAGCATGACAACAGTTACGTTAAGATTATTTACAACTGTACATATAATATACATGTATACGTAATAATCAATCTGACAACAAACTGAAATCAGATATAATCATGCAGTTTCATAACTAGCAACACATTAGCTATAATTTAGTCAACTTCACATGAGTTTGCAAGTTATCAATAGATACATAAGAGATTCGACATCAGAAATCAGGTTTGTAAATACATCGCAATTCTTACGAAACTTCAAATAAACAAACTAAAAGAAGACTGTCATATTTGTTGACTTATTCTTTGCAGTATTAGCAAACTAGCCACCTGCTAAACAACACCATTGCGAAATGAAGTCCCTATTAACACGCTAAACAACATTTACTGATGTCGCTACATTTGCTTAGCATTGAATTACATGCATTTAAAGTTCAGTTTATTTTAGACAGTCGTACCAAGTCATAATCCTCTTCATCATCGCACATGAAATCATCTTCCATGTCAGACATTTTGACCGGAGAGAGAGACTCTTACCCACAATGCTCACGGGCAAAGCGTTATGATGACATCACGCCGCGCGTTCTGTACGGTGCGCGCGCAGCTCCGATTCCTTCCGAGTGTTTCCGAATCCAGTTTGAGAGACTCGTGTGAGTTTCTTCCGTGTTGTTTTGGTTTTAGACGCATGATTCCGGGTATGTCAGTCAGCTGACAGCATTTGTACGGTGTCAGTCCACTCCTATAGAGTGTACTTACTGTAAAACAAAGATTAAAAACAGCACAATGGCCACAATTCCACCGAAAATCAAGGTGCAGCTCAGTGGAAATGAAAGGTAACGTTAAGTTGCGACTGTTCGGGACACTTCGTGCAGCTATTCGGAAAACTTCGATTGTGAATGAATGGAGTCCACTTTTAACTTTCTTGTTTGTTTTTTTGTTTGGGTTAGAACGGTTAAACATACACTTTCCCCTCTTTTTGTTAGGTTGCAGAAACTGAAAGAAGCTTTTCATGGAAAATATGGACAAATGCCTCTCTTCTACGCTCGTGCTCCAGGGAGGGTGAATTTGATTGGTGGGTTGCAACTAGCAGTGTGTAAACATAACGAATCCCATCAGCACTGCGTTTTATGTTTTATCATAAATCTTATCATTTCCAGGTGAGCATATTGATTATTGTGGCTATGCTGTCCTTCCAATGGCAATAGAGCAGAATATTCTTGCTGCAGTTTCTGTCAGTGACTCCCAAACAATCCAGCTGACCAACACTGACCCCAAATACAAGTGAGTAACAATCTTTAATTGGTCACATTTTGTCATTATTAATTAATTAATTAATTCAAATAATCATTTGCTTAGTTATTTACTCACTTCATTCATTCACTCACTCATCCCTTATTTACTCATTCACTCACTCATTTATTTATTAATTCACTTCATGCATCATTCACTCACTCATTAATTAATTCACACATCAATTCACTCACTCATTCATTATTTACTCACTCATTCACTTTTTAAATTAATTTGCTCATTCATTAATTCACTAACCCATTCATTATTCATTCATTCACACACTCACTCGCTAATTCATTATTAATAATTAATTCACTCACTCACTTACTCATTGACTTCATTTATTAACTCAGACATCCATTCATTCTTTACTCACTCATTCACTCACTTATTTCTTTCCTTCTCACAGGGATTTCACTGTGTCTGTTGATGGCATCACTATTGACAGAGAGAATCCTCAATGGTATTATTACTTCCTTTGTGGAGTGAGAGGAATCCAGGTGGGGTGTTTAATGACACACACAATGCATGTTTGCATTATCTCATTATAATCAGTCATTTGACCCTTGCCCATGTGTATGCAGGAGCACTTGAGCTTGTCTTCATTGGCAGGGATGTGTTGTGTGGTAGACGGGACCGTCCCGGCCAGCTCAGGGCTGTCCAGCTCCAGTGCCCTGGTGTGCTGTGCAGGTCTGGTCACCATGGAGGCCAATCAGAAGTCTCTTTCTAAGGTAGTCCTTAATGTAAATCCTCAAATCTGCATTACATACAACTGCTGCTTGTCATACTGTAGATGTGCTCGCTTTGATTTCACTGCAGGTGACTCTCGCAGAGACGTGTGCCAAGTGTGAGCGTTATA